ACCATACTAATCAGAATCAGGAATGGTCTCCCCTGAGCATCTTTTCGATCCATTTCGGGGGAATCCTCTGAGCGAGTCCTTTTCGACTCCATTTCGGGGACGCGAACGTGCCGCGGCCAAGGGCGGGTCCGTCCCCCCTATATCCCGAAGCGCGGTTCGGATCCACCCAAATGAGTGCAAGAGGGAAACAAGCGAAAGATCCGCAGCTCCATTGTGAGTTGCATCACCGCCATTTCATGACCTCCAGCTCTTGGCCGAATGCAGGTGCCGCGAAACCCGGAACTCACACGCCTCAGCCCCAGGAAAGCCATAGAGAACCCGTGGCCCAACGGAATAGGTATTTATCTGCTGAGAAGGTGCCCAAAAAAGACCACGGAGGCCCCAAAAAGGCATGCCCTCCCACCGACTAACATGGAAGTGCCCGGACCCCTGTAGAAACACGACTTTCCTCTTCGAAAGGGGACTTGTGCACTTCCTTCCATGTTAGCTGGTGGGAGGGTACTGGGTACATAAATTGATATGCAAACCATTTTCCGGGGATGGCCCCAAGGCTGGATTGTCCATCATGAGTCATGAGTTTCTGAGCCGTTTTTGGGCTACCTCGGCATCTGGGCTGCGCAGCAATCATATGTTCAGTTTCTAGGGTGGGTGACTTTTAGAGTTGGCACCCTTGCTTGAAAAACCAAAGCTATCTTGGGGGGGGGTCCGATTCCTAAAAAAAACAAGCCATTTCGCCTATCCTAAAGCACAAAATCCTTCGCCGAAGACCCCAAGGACTAGAATAATTTTCCTCAGCTCTCATCCCTCGAATCATTTTGCAGCAGGGTTCTCCCTCACACGTGTTTAACCACTTTCGATCAACCAAGGGGGAGCCATGGTCCGTTTGTTCAACCAAGTCTGCCCATCCTGGACATATCTGTGTGCGTGTTTTGATTTCCGGGGAGTTTCAAGTGAAGCCGAAGGGATTCTCTCTCTCTCTCTCTCTCTCCTTTTTATTTGGGGGGGGGGGTTGGTCCCCCTATTTGGACAGAAACCCACTATGAGCGGTCAAAATTACGTGTTCCCCCACAAGGCCACGGCAAACTTCGTGAATCCCAATGGTTTTGCAAGTCCCCCGCATGTCCCTTGGCCTGGAAACTCAAAACCAGGTTCTTTGAAGGCCCTGAATCAATCGGGAGCCTCTGGGTACTTCAAATACCCGCGTCTGTTTCGGCGATACTCTGACAAACTTTGATTCAGATCGACTTCGCCGGGCCAAAGCAGGCGAAAAGCCTTCTCGCAGCACGCTGGGCAAACCGGCCGTCATGCGGTCGTGCACCAGCTGCGCCAACTTCTTGAGATCCCCCTTGCCCTCCACCTGGCGATCTTGGTTGCTGTAACGACCCCCCTGCAACAAGTTGGTTTTAAACTGTTTGGGGGTTTTGTGAAAAACCCAACTTGATTTCCCAGAAAGTTTAAAGTCTAAAGATCCAACCCAGTAGCAGTCAAGCGATGTTCAGGGTGTCCCTTTGAATGGGCCTGTCAAAGCCGGTTCGTCTTGGACCCCCAAGGATTGCTTAGGATTGCTTAGGTAACTCAGGAGAAAAAAAAGAAAAAAACGTCACCAACTGGAGCCGTACCGGCGAAAAGATCACGAATACGCCACAGGTGGAGCGGGGGAACCCCAAGCGCCTTCGCGTTGGAGGGCCTCCCAGCTGATGACAAAAGAGAGGCATCCATGACTGCAGAAGCCACTCCAGTTGCAGGGGTGGACTCTTTTTGATGAAGGCCCCTATGGGCAGGACCATCTCAAGATCGGCACACAGGCCGATTACAAGAGTGGCGAGACGGCCGAAGCAGTCGAGGCTCAAGTCTGCACAAGGGGGTCCAAAAAGCAGAGAAAGCCGGGCAAACCCAGTGGAAAGAGGACCACGGGCATCTCATACCACTCTGCAAGTTGTAGGATTCACACCGAGACATTCAAAGGAGACCTTGAAGGTATGATGGGAAAGGTCATACGAGCAAAAAGGCATTTGGGTTTGTACGCTCTCCATCCTCCAAAGTCGCCACCCCAGGGGTTGAAAAGGAGGAGGCCAATCTCACGAGTGAAAATGGCACGAGGTAGGACTGCAAAATCGGCACTCAAGAGGATCTGTCCGAAACCATTCTGAAAAGAAAGGCTGGCGAAGCAAATACTGCAAAGCCGAGCAGAAGGGCACTCAAGTGTATGTAATGTAGAGTTGGCCCAAGCAACCTGGGTGATCCCCCGAGAAGCGGGGGAGCCTTCGGGAGTGGCGAACTGTGCGGGTGAAAGGGTCATATCCAAGCGAGCTAAACGCGGCATTGTCGGGCAGGCCTTGTGAATATGATAGCAAACCAAGAAGGCAAAAATGACAGGAAGGCAAGCTAAGTCTGGCAATGCCTATGCACGAATTAGGGGAGAAGGACTTTCGTACTTCAACAGAAGGTGCGGAGCATGGACCCCTGCCCAAGTCTCAAGAGAGATAAGGGCCACGCCAGATTCTGATCGGTACGTCTTTCTGGTAAGGGTATCCTTTTTGAAGTCACTTATAGGGAAACCACAAAGACATAAAGTCCCCAGTTTTGGCTTTGGAACCCAAATGGCAATGAATTCAACCACCAACGGAAGAATGATCCATTCGGTGCATCAGGTGGTTCAGCCCATCAGCCCATGCCTGGTACCGCCGCGACTTTTCCTCGAGAGGGAGCCACCCTTCTGACCGCCGAAAACCAGACCAAAAGAAAGCCGCCATTTCTTGGTTGGAATTATGAACCCAGCAGAAAAATATCCTTTTTGCCTGGTTAGTGGAAAACAAAGAGGACCCAAAAAAAGCAAAAACAAAAAACAAAAAAGGGGGAACTAATTCTACACAAAGAGGGTGCATGAGGGCCAAGGACCCAAAACCGGAAACCGGAAACTATCTGGGAAGGCTGCCTCCCACAGCTCTCCCAAAGATATGCCTGTGCTTAATCACTGTCTAGCATGTGAATCAGCAGGTTCTCGAAGGATCTTTGGGATCCTTTCCTCCAACTAACAAACATAAGGCCCTCTCCCTCTCTCTCTCTCTCTCTCTCTCTCTCTCTCTCTGTCGCTGTCTCTATCTCTGTCTCTGTCTCTCTCTCTCTCTCTCTCTCTGTCTCTGTCTCTGTCTCTGTCTCTGTCTCTGTCTCTGTCTCTGTCTCTCTCTCTCTCTCTCGCTCTATCTCTCTATCTCCCTATCTCTCTATCTCTCCCTCTCTCTCTCTCTCTCTCTCCCTGTCTCTTTTTTTCTTTGAAAGGATAGTAGTGCTGGTCTGTGCAATGTTGTGTTTGTTTGGGCGAGGGGGGAGCTGGCTTGGTCAAACCGAATCTTTACGCAAAAGTGATCAGGCAGCTCTTGATTCAGGTTGGAAGCTGCTAGGCGTTCAAAAGCTCAAAAGTTCAAACTGCGGGACATGTTGAGCGGGCCCCCTGATTCCAGGTGCCATTTTCAACCGGGATTGATCATTCTGGTAGTGGTATGGCCATGGGTCAAAATCCAAATCGTACCCCCAGTGAACATCCCAATCCAACCACTAAAATAGGTTCTAAAATGGGTGGTGAATTCACCAATCCCAACCAACATGGGATCCCAAAACGGTTTCGACAACCACAGCCGTAATTATCAACCAGAAGTAACCTCTGGTTCGATGCCACTTCAGGGTGCCATGTCAACCCGGGGCTCGAACTCAGATTCCCCATCGCAAATTTTGGGGTGGTTTCGGTGGTTTCTGGGGAACCCCGAGAGGTTCCAGGTGGGAGGTTCCGAGAGGTCCGGGGAGGTGCGCTTCTTGGGCATCTTCTGCCGGGCATCGATTCGCACAATTTTGCTCAAGGCGATGGAGTGGCAAATGGACACCTCGGCCGCAAAACCGCCTCACAGCCTCACAGCCTCATGGAGATCTATGCCATCAAACAGTGTTCCCCCATGCAAATCCATAATATGGCTGTGGCTCAAAAAACTGGTACCAAAATGGAACCCTGGCAAGTGGAAACAAAGGCCAAAACCTGCGTAACCTTTCCTGTGGAATTTGAGCCACACCCATATGCACATGATGAATGCGCGGCTGCTTGCATACCTCCCTCTCCATAGCACCCCCGAGCCCTGCCACTGTACTCGACAGAAATGACTATGTGCGAGATTCCAGTTGCCGGAGATGCCAACCTCTACATGATGCCATTTTCCCCAGGGTGTGGGTGTCTGTGTGTGTGTGTGCGCGTTTTTGAGGGTACTTTGTGGTTTATTTTCAACCCAAAAAAACAAAGTTCAAATGGCCATGGGTCAAAAGCCAAATCGTACCCCCAGTGAACATCCCAATCCAACCACTAAAATAGGTTCTAAAATGGGTGGTGAATTCACCAATCCCAACCAACATGGGATCCCAAAACGGTTTTGACCCATAGCCACATCCCCTGGTACGGATCGCCATCGATGGCTTGCCAGGGCGCCGCATTCGTGGACCACGCACTGGTGAACTGCTGGCGAGGGCCGACCTGCAAGCGCTCGCTCGCCACGTTTCGAAACCGAAACGGTTGCATTCGCCTGGATGGCGCCACCTGGGCCTCAAACCGCCCTGACAAATGAAAGATTGCCCCAAAACAATCTTTGTGGCCTACGGCTAAGTCGTACAAAAACAACAATTCTATTTGCAAGTGTTTTTCTCCTGGATGCTTGTTGTTTCTTTTTGTCGTGTATTGGTCACCCCTTCGGGTGATTGCCCTTGCTTCAGGCGAGTTTTTGGGCGTCCATCTGGATGGGCCGGGAAAGGATGGGTTGGCCGAAAGCCGACTCGCCTCCAGCACGGTACCCGAGAGGAAGCTGGACTGCCCGAACTTCTCGGGCTCGAAAGTCTCCCGGAGGAGGTACCTCACGCGCGAAAACCGCGACAACGCGAAGCCGCTCAGCTTGCCGGGAGGGGAGGAAAGGGGGCCATGCGGGGGGGGGGAAGGGGGGAAGGGGGGAAGGGGCGGGGGGGGACGGCGAGGACTGTAACACCTTGTGTGCTTCAAGCGAGGTGTCTGGCCGTCTGGTTGCTCAGGCACCGGCGAGCTTCTGTTTCACCCGACGCTTGGTTCCAGAAAGGGATGCCACGCCGCGAAACCAGGTTTGCACCTACACATCTACAGGGATCCGGATGCATTATACACCTGAACATTGCAACTTGTAAATGGTGGTTTTCCTTTATTTTGGTGTTAAAAAAGCAACTTGTTTCAAATGGTTGCAAAATGTATCTTTTAAGGAGCCCTGAACTAGCCAACTGGGTTTTGGGCGCCGCTCAGGAAAGCGCTGCTCGGGAAAGATGTTGGGAACCGGTCCCTCACATTTATGAAACCCCGCGCCAAGGACTTCTAGTCGCTGCAAGGGCCCGTAAATAATGCCCACCAGAAGGAAACCAGCTCCAAAAAGGTGATGCTTGAGCTACAATGCCGAAAACGAGGATTTGTTCAATGTCCTAAATTTTGTATGTCGGACCCCGTTCCGGATGGCTTTCACCAAACCGAAAGAGGCCCCCGGCTTGTCTTCGGGGTCAGCCCCCCCTACTCTGCAAGAAACGCCCAAAATCAATATATCTTGGGACCCATTTCTCTGTCAAACTGGTGGTTGTCCTTGATTCCCCTCAAACCAACCTTTCAAAAACCCAGATCAAAAAAAACAGGATCAAAAAACACACCTTTTTTCGAGGGACAGTACAAATCCCATTTCGTGAGCCCAACAACTTCTTTTTACGGGGGCACTCCAGCTTCTTGGTCTCCTCCGCATCCAGAGCACCCCTTGCCTGGCGAATCGTCACTGAAGCCAGGAACTCAGAGCGCGCGCCCAGATGTCTCTTCGTGCGAAAGCTGCTCACTTTAAGGTGGCCCAAAAACAGGGATCCGGATGCATTATACACCTCAACATTGCCTTGTTAATGGTGGTGTCCCTTTATTTTGGTGGAAAAACCCATGTTTGAAATGGGCAAAATGTATCTTTTAAGGAGCCCTGAGAAAGATGATATGAAGCCCAAAAAGTGTTCTCCGACTCGGAAGATTTAGCAGCTACGTCTAAGGAACATGGGAATAACTGAAAAAAAAATGCAAATCAGCGACTTGCAAGCATGTCCAGATTCCCTACAAGAGTGAGTAAGAAAACCAAGCATCTCCCTGATGCTTCTCAAAGCGCTTCTTCGAAGAGGGTCTCTACAGGTGACCCATAATGCATCACCAACCGAAATTATGCAAAAACAAGAACAACCGAAAACCACAAAGAAAGAAACCGAATCCATCATATCAGTCGCAAACCCATTTATTCTTGGTAAGTCACCGTTTGCCCAGCTAGATTCGGCAGAAATAGGAAATGCAACCCATAAGCCCAAATTGGCTTCGGTGTTCCCTAAAATGTTTTTTTTTTTTTTTTAATAAAGTTAATAAATAGGTACCGAGCCTCAAAAGGCTGCGAATCTTAGTTGTGGTCCCTTTTTATGTCTGACTTTTGCATTCCCCATGAGAAAAACAGCACTTTTGGACCCTCAAACTGCCCCAGCAAATCGGACATCGCCCGGCTGAATTCCCTTTTCAAAGGGAAGTTCCAGGGTCCAGGTAGCCATTTGGGCTGTACACCCCAAAAAAGTGATATACTTCCTTTTGTCGTCCTGTTAAAGCCAACCAAACATGGGTACCCTCCAAAACAGAGATCCCCATGTGGGCGTGTCGTTTTTCGAGGGCACCCTTTCTGGGAACTCATAGCCCCAAAAAAAACAAAGCACCCGCCGCACCGCTCCCTTTCTTTCTGGGCTCATTTTAAGGGAAAGCCCAAAGCTGCGTTTGGGGGGGGGCGGAACCCATAGCCAAAAAAAACAAAGCCACCGACGAAAAACCGGGCCCCGCTGGCTCAAATCAAGAAGCCGCTTTTGGGGGGTGAACTCATAGCCAAACAAGGCCCCGCCCAAAACCGCTTGCCCAAAACCGCTCGCCCGAAACGCACCTGGATGTTGAAGCAGATCTCGCTGCCCAGCAGGGTGAAGCCGAGCTCGGCCGCCTGGTCGCTAATCGCTGGTGCCACACGGCGGGTGGCGTACAAGCTCACGTTTGAGTGACCAAGAAAGGCTGCGCTAGAGTCCAAAGAAATATCCCTTGTTTGCATGTAGTTATTGTTGTTGATTCTAATCTGTGTATATATTGTGTGTACTTTGTTATATGTATTGAGTTGTTGTCGTTGTTCTAATCGGTGTATATATGAATATATATATATATATGGATGACGAATGTGTCCACTTTGTTATAGTATGTACTGTTGTTTTTGTCCTTTTTTCTAATGTGTGTATATATGTATAGATGTATGTATCATGTGTGTGTGTATGTGAGCGAGGCAAGTGAATAAAGCGCAAGCGATGAAGAATGACCAAGGGTTTCGACATGTTCTACTGCAATGCTTAGGGAATCCCGCCGTACTGCCATGTCGAAAGTGATTTCCTCCTGGTTGAGTCGTTCGCCATCCCTGGAATGCTTGACTTGCAACACCCAGGACCGACGGCGGACATGAGGTTCGCTTGACCGAAATCAAAACCACGACCGCCACGATCGAGGCATTGCACTTTGTTGAGAGGCCACCATGGCATCCTCCAGGATCAGCATGCTGAAAGCCCTTTTTGCGGACAGAAATATGAAACCCAAAGATTGGCAAGACTTGCAAACGTCTGGTCGGGAGTGTCGAGGTTGGGTGATTCTCTTAGGAATATTCATGCTGGTTGCTTTACCCCTTCAATCTACGATGATCCCAAGTTCAAAGCACGGCTCCAAAAGCTTTTGGCCGGCAGAAAAATCGGCGCTGGCTTCCTTTTGGGGTTTTGCCCTTTAAATAAACATCCCAAAGCCAGACCGACCGCCCCGCATTTGGAAGCCGCCGGAGCGCGCGAAAGGCCCCCGCGAAAGGGCCTTCTTTTGCAGCGCAGGGCTCACGTGCAAATCGGCCTGTCAGGCGCAAATCGGATATTCCGGCTCGGGCAAGTCCGAATATGGGTTTGTCTCAAAGGAAAACCCAGAAAATGGTTAGGTCCTCTTGGCTGCCCTCATGAACCCAGAAAGCGTACCCGAAAGAGACACGCCATGTCCAAGAATCGGGGACCCCTTCAGGGTGTCAAAGAGAAACCAAGAACCAAGCCTGCCCGCTAGGCCCCCAAATTTGTGACCCAAGCGACGAGGAACCTCCTGTTCGGCACCAGGAGCAAAAAGCAAGTGGTTGCTAAAGCTGATTGAAACCAAAAGGTCATTCAACATCAAAAGAGCCATAAGCAAAACTTGGTACTCAAATGGTCCATGCAAGACCATGTAAAGAACCAAAAGGGCAAACTTCCGCATCTGCTTGCGGTGAGGCTGTTCCTACCTACATCCCGATCAAACCAAGTTTCTGCAGGTCCACTGCTAACTGGACAAGCTAACCACCTCAAAGTGAGAAACTTTCTAGCTATATCCAACAATCATGGAAGTGGACATGGGGCTTCCCGCAAAGGAAAGTCGTCTTCCCAAAGCCCCGTAAGCTTCCATGTTTGATGGAGTGAAGGCAACTTGGCTGAGGAACAAACGACTTCTCGCGAATTCACTGCCGCAAGAAGAGAATTCCCGTCTCCTTGGATCTCAGCAATCAAGAATGCATTTAGGCGCGTGAGAGAACCCTCGGACATATTTTGTCCTCTTCCCTCGGGTTTCCCTAGTGAAACCCCAGAAGTGGCACCGAGCCTCAAGAAGACCAGGGGTGATTCGCAAGGCAACCTTCGGCCACTGAACCGCGCCTTAACAACTTGGGCCATGGGAAAAACATGGACACCCGATGGTCTTCTTTTGGAGTTGGTACCCATTTCTGGGGTTGGTTGAAAGGAAAGCCGCAAGGGAAACCACCATTTTGGGGGTTCCCAAAAAAGCGACCACTCAAGCAGTAGTTGTCTCTGAAGGGAAACCGACTTCAAAACGAAGAAGAACCCGCTGGGTGGAAAGGCCCGCAACTGAACAAAACAGGCCGCAAGCTGCCACTCGGAAGTAGTGCAGCAGCGGCGTCGACATGGCAGACCTCAAACTCGGGAAAGGTTCAGAGCATGTGTTTCTGTTTCTCAGTTTGGTTTCAAGGGAAAACAAAACAAACAAACAAACAAACAAACAAACAAACAAACAAACACACAAACACAACAAATAAACAAACAAAACAATGCAAACCAAAAAGCTCTTTGTTTAAGGTCCCTCAGCTTTTGCACATTCCCCAATGGCAGTTGCTCCATTGTTGGATTGTTGAAGAGAAACACACAACAACCTGGCACAAGCCTTTTCTCAGCAGGCAATAGCCCTTCATGTCGGCATCGGTCAACACACTCTCCAACTCTCCGAGTGATCTGCAAGTGGGAAAACATATCGCGTGGTTGCATCAAATTGCCTGCACTGTTGGGCAATGCAACATATTGGAAGTGGAGGGGCTTGCCGGGCGCCAAGACGGTCTCCACTAAAACTGGTCGAACAGCAGCTACCGCAACTGGATGTAGTCGCTGCAATGCTACATTAGCTCCAATGCCACATTGCTGTCTTGTGCAAACGGCATCAAGATCATGAGGGGCCCTTAAACCAAAACAGTCTCCTGCCATCGACTAAGGCCATCCAAGACCATGATGGGAACCAGTTGATTCAAAAACCGTGGAAGAATCTAAGGCGTCGCATTTGATAGAAAAGCCTCAGCTCTTGAGATAAAACTCCCTATTCATCCACCGACATGACCTCCGTTTGATAGAAAAGCTCCACTTGTTCGTCCACCAGGACGAGCGATTCAAGGACCTCAAGCACCAAGCTCGGAACTAGGCAGCCAGGCAGCCAAGAGGAGGCGCCAGAGTTTTCAAACGACCCAACCAGTCACTGCAATTCGGAACCAGGCCGTGGAAAGGGGCGGCAAGGCGGGAGGCGGCGCGGCGTTTGGGTTTCAGCGCTTCGACGACCAAAAACAAATGGTTCAGGTGGGAAGGGTGGCTTCTGGTAGGACCTGTTAAAGGAAACCTATTTCAAAAGGATACGAACGTCCAAGTCTCATTCTCAAATAATAAGACCCAAAGGAAACAAATTGTTATGCTTGTGATGTTTGGTCCTTAATCGGGTGAAGGCGGTGCAGAAAGGTGATTGGTCCAGAACGACAGCTTCCAAACGAATTTTGCATTAAAGGATCTTTATTTTTCTTTCTTTTTTTCACTGGATCCGTTTACATCTGTTTTTCTCACAAAGACATCCAAACATCCAAGACATCCAAAGGAATTGCTCCCAGGCTCTCATGCTTGGATCCGGGAAGGGGAACGCTAGCAGGAACTTCCCTTTGTTTTCCCCTGAACTAAAAAAGCAACATATATCTGGAACATACATACATATGTACATATACATATATGTGTATACATACATGTGTATATACATGTTCTGCTGGCACACCCAAACTGCATGCTTCTTTGCATTCCCTTTAGAACAACCCCAATTAAGGGTACCATCTGACAAAAACAATTGGTAAATGAATGAGGACCCCTGGTGCAGCTATGGCGGGAGAGCGGCAAAGCTGTTCAATGACCCCCGAAGCCATCTGAGAATCGATTTACTCAACGTTGTGGCCTTGCTACCACCATGTTGTGCAGAAAAGGGGTCACGCCCACAAGAGCATCCAGCTTCGCAAAGGAGCCACACCACCGTCGGGCCCTAAGTTTGCAAAAAACTAAGAGAATGCGTCAAATTAGCGGTGTTGTTGTCCTTTTGGTCTTTGTTTGGGCCAACCCCCAAAAAACGGGTGCCCTCCAACAAACACACACCATCCCCCGGGAAACGTCCAACCGCAACCCGGCCCCCGGCCCCCGGCCGCACCCATCCTCATGCTCAGAGCACACCAGGGACAGCTCCGCCACATCCTGCGATCGAAGCCCTGCAGCCAAACCAACCGAGCCGACCAAGCGCTCAACCCTTTTTGGGGAAGAACCTAAAGGGAAACTAATGGGAAAACCAAAAGAAAACAGGCAAGCAAGCAAGCAAACAACCGCAAAACGAAAGGGAAACTAGTGGGAAAAAAGGAAACAAGCAAGCAAGCAAGCAAGCAAGCAAACAAACAAGCAAGCAAGCAAGCAAGCAAACGGACACGAAACGAGACAAAACGAAGAGCCACAGGCAAATCGAGCTGGGTGCTAAACAGGGGTACCCATCCCCCTTTGATTTGCCCCTGAGCAAGATACCCAGTGTCTTATCAAGGGGCTGATCTTTAAATCCACAGAGCTCCGTATCCAAAATGAATCTCCCTTCATCAGTAGCAATCATCCAGCTTCCTTTTTTACCAGTTCCACAAATGGCATTCAGTGCCTATAATCCAGACATCAAATCTAGGGAAGCAGACTCCCCAAAATGGTGTTGTTGTCCTTGTGTCAAAGGCTGAAAGTATATCATCATATAATCATATATGCATGCCTGGTATGACCCCTTAGTTTACGGGTTATTTAAGCGTTAGTTATGGCTTAGTTGTGGAAAATCAGCCCGAATCCAAAGGGTCCAGCATGGCCATGCATAGTTCATATATGGACCTATACAATCAGCCCTTCCCTTTTGGTTTCCGCTTAATGTTGACCCCATAGTCCCATAGTAATCAACCCCAGCTTTAATGAGGGGGTGCTTCTCCCTGCGGGGAATCAGACCACTTTTGAAGGGGCCCAAAACCACGCTAGGGGGGTATCAAGCTGGGTTTAGTGGGGAGTCAGACCGCTTTTGGAGGGGTCCAAACCCACCCCCCAAATGTAAGCAACAGGTTGGTTGAAATTCACACGGGGTCAACACCACCACCCAAAAAGCGCCCCCACCCCCCCCCCCCCTCCCCCCCCTCCCAACCCTCCCAACCCCGCTTCCGTTTCAGGAGCAAACAAAAAACACCTCCGCCGCTCGCTCCCGCGCCACCGGGGGCGGCCACTCGGCTTTGGCGTCCGCCGCGGCGGTGGCGCGCTGCAGCGCGCCCTCCGCCTGAGCGCCGTGGCTCGCCGCGTCATGTCAGGCTCGACAGAGTCTGCCAGTTACAGCCAAACCTGGGTCACTCAAACACTAACAAGGAGTGCACCCCAAACAAACGCAGGGATCTACTGATTTTGATTTCGGCTATGGTGCTGTCTGGGCATGCCAAGTGCTTTGCTTTGAAACTTGACTTGTCCATGCTTCACTCCCACCATTCTCCGTATGTTACCCGCAAACGCGATCATTGCCATTCACAAGTTGATGGCCAGTCATATTGCACCAATTCATTCCTCATTCGCCGTTGCAACGAATGCCCACTTGTTCGTGTTTTTGGTTGTTTCCATTTTTTTTTTTGAGGATACCCCTTTTTTGGGAGCTTTAAAGGGAAGCCAAAGTGGGCTTCCAGACCAAAGTGGGCCCCAACTCCTCGCCTGCGGCATCACGATCTGGAAGATCGGGTACATGATGGTCCCATTCTGGCGAATCAGAAACCAACTTCGCCGCCGGAGCGGCGAGTGTCTTTGTGTGAGTGTGTTTCCCCATGCGAAGGGGCAAGGAACATGTTTTCTGGCTTGTTTGCCACTTGGGTGAGTGCTTCCATATCCCTCTCGAAGCATAGAAAACAGTCAGGAGTTGACAGAACCGCACAACAAAGCTCCTCATAGGGCGGTCCACACCCACGACAGCCAGAGATCTTTCTCCAATCTTCCCTTTGGTGATGTTGGGCTCCGGCCCTCAAAAAACACCTACAAGTGAACACAGCCCAAAACGTCGTTGGAGGAAACGACTTTTGCCGAGCCGTACCTACCACAGCCAATCCATGGTCAAACCCATGCCCCACATGTCCCAGACCTGCCGCAAAAACCCCCGGAAAGTGCACACGCGCCTGGCCCATGCATGCAGGCATAGAGTTCAGCAACATCTCCATGACCACCATGCCATACGCGTAGACCTGCATCCGACTGGCCAGGTTCAAATTCCCAAACCACCCGTCCCAAGCACCAACTACGGGTTACCAATTAAGGGCCTGATTCAAGCAGAATGATCCAAATGCTCAGATCTTACCTTCGGCCTCGCCGTTCTGATCGGTTGTCCAGGCCTGTCAACTACTCCAACCTCTCAAGTTGCGACAGATGTCTCGCCACCCCATGTTCCAAGTGCCGCTCAAAAGGTACGCTCTGAAGTAGGGAGCATCTCTCAGAGGACCTTCGTTCAGATTCCATGGGGAAGGGTCATGTCGACACCAGATCTTAGTCGGATCTGGTGGATTAGCTCGTGTTTCACTAAACAGTGATCCGGATTCCCTCCCATATGGGACGCCCTGCAATCAATATTCAACCTGGAGGCTTTTCGATCAACTGGAGTCCCATGTTTTGCTGTTTTGGTAACGTGTCAAAAAAGAGGGAACCCCAAACCTAGTTGTTCTCCGCTCGGTTTCCAGAAAGCAAGCTCTCTCTCTCTCTCTCTCTCTCTCTCTGCGCCAAAGGGCCTCCGTTTGCTCCGTGACCTTGCCCGTCTTGATGTAACTCAGACGGTGCTACAGTCTCACTCGAATCAGCGCTGCGTTTGCGCCTCCTCTGGGAATGTGAAAGCCTCCTCTGGGTGCCCTCTGTGTGTGGCCTCTTTCTGACTCCCCCCGGCAAACCACAAGACGGGTCCATGATTCAATTGAAAACAAACACATGCTGGAAGCAGGTGAGTAAAATGGTCTACCCAGAATCATGCAAAGAACTTCACGGCGACGAAGGCACCCATGTATGGTGGGACTATCCCGTACTAGCCTCCTTCTTGCGGGGCTTTGAGCATGTGGCTCAGGTGGCGATCAAGCCCCCGACTGCGGGCAGGCATAGCCCGGGGTCCCGCTGATCTGGTCGCAGGTCATGTTGAGCTTGTTCTGGCAAGCGCTTTGATGGACAAGGGAAAGCAACGACAGAAGCACGGCCTTAGAAGGCCCCTTCGTGTGGAACCTGCTGCTCTTTTGAACCAACCAAACTTCGGTCACCACTTCAACAGGGGCCCATGCCAAATGTAGACTATCACCCTTTGGGTGATACCAACATGGTTCATCCCAATGACTCATGCACACTTAAAAAGGCCACTTACGGCAAGTGGAAACCTAAAACCAGCCATGCAGGCCCGCCTTGTTCTTGGCGATGCCGGACAACCCAAAGTCCGCCATCTTTGCTGTCCCACTCCTGACATCGTTCGCAGGAGGTAACCAAAAAGGGAGTCTCTGACAGAACTTTCGGACAAGTAGTTCAAACCCACCACCAATCCAGCCAATTCCGGGTCAACTGAACCAGTCTACTTGCACCCGGTACCGTGAATCCAATCAGAAGTTCAATGGGCCCTTTGCCAAACCCATCTGACCCTGCCACGGTGTAAGCTCTACTGCGGTATCCCTAAGGAGGCAGAGATCAGCGGCACCGGCCATGACAACTCACGAGCTGGGAGGATTCATTGAAACACCGTTGCGCAAAATGGAAAAACTAGACCCTGGTTGATCACATAGCATTTGTTTTGCAGATCCAGATCCTCCTCTCCCTTCCGAGTCCGAATGGCGCCAAAAAGAGAATAAAATGGGCTCATCATGAGTGCTCATTGCCAAGATGCAAGGGACCCGCAACTGAACAGAACAGCCCGTGTCTCCTGTCAAGCAGGATGTTCGCCGACTTGATGTCGCGATGAAAGGCCTGGCTTCAGCATAACAATGGAACTAGTTTCCTCGATGATGCATCGTTTTTTGGACCCATCTGGACAGGGGCAACAAAAAAAAGACGGAGAAACGCTGTCCTATTTTCCGATGTCTTGGGGCTTTGCTTTCCGGTCCACTCTATTCCGGTGCCGGAAACACAAGCTGGGGACAGGGGCCTTTGGATTGAGGAGTTCACGAGTTCCCCTTCGGATCCAAAACATATGGGGGACGGCGGGTTTAACCCACCAACCAAACAGGGTGGCAAGGACAGCACAAACACACCCATAGGGGTTGTGTCAAAATTGTAAACCCTCAATAT